GTTGATAATCAAGCTTTTTCCATTGTTAAGTCTGATCTTCGGGTATCTTACTTCCGTCTTCTTCAAGATGATCGTGAAACCCTTGTCCAAGGAACCAAAGTTCCACTGGAGAGGACCAAGACTTGTAATTTTTTCCATTTAATTTCTCAACCATTATAGTAGGAGTTCCGAAAAAGCAGTTATGGGCCTGACAACATGTTTTAAATAATGTAGATGTAAGATGGAGACAATGGGACCTGTAAGAAGGAGAATACCCAAAATAGAATTAGATAGAGAGGGAAGTATCAATCAGAGGCCGAAAGGTCATTGGAAGGTGGTTAGAAAGTCGTCGAACGATAGCAAAAAAATGACCGGACGGGGTACCATACAGTTGCCTAAAAGTGATCGAAAAGTGGCCGGAAAAGTGGTCGGACGGTGGCCTGATGGTGGTTGAACGGTGGCCAGAAAGGCAAAGCAGGACCAACCTGCCCTGATATCATGTTAAGATTCCAACATAAAACCAATTAACAATATGTGGAGTAGCCTAACATGTATTTAAACCATCTTAAATGACATGAGACAAGCGATGTGGGACTTCCAACACGCCCCCTCCAACGAAGCCTGCCGGACCAGGTAAAGGGTACTTTGGACCCACAACGAAAGGACAACTTTTGGCCCAAGACAATAACCGAAGAGATGTTAGACTTTGGGTCTGATACCAAGTTAAGAGAGTTAAAAGAAGATTTATAATTCAGTGGGATGCATCACTCCACTCTATGATCTCATATATATATATATATATATATATAGGATTACAGCATTTAAAAAACAACCACCAACTACTAACCCTTAACCACTACTTAATAATAATTCTAACAATAACAATTTGCAGCAAGTACTCTTAAATTGTAACCTTTTAAATCATAAATCAATACGTGTACATCTTTCTTTCCAGGAACTTGTCATGGAGAAAATTGTTTCGAGAAAATTTATACAAAAATATAAAGATGCATTATCACTACTTCTCTAGAACTAGAAGTCTAGAACAATAATTCATCTTAACTCATAAATAGTGAATATATGAGAAGAATCAGCTTGGAAAATAAAATGACATACCTTGAGATTTATCACAGCAACCTTATTAGCTGGCGTGGAGAGCTGTTCGCTGATGTAAGCCATAGACTTCAACATTGGTTCCAAAGTAACTCTAGAGAGATGAAACTTAACCTCGGATTCTATGGACGGAGCCCTGCTATAATCTTGCAACTGCAATATGATGTTCGAAATATCAAAGGACTAAATCTCCACACTAATTACCAAAAAGTTGAGAAAAATAAAGTGCTTCACTAATGAAGACTAAAATAGATATTTATACCCACGCAAACCAAGGATTGACAACCCAACCGAATTTTCACTTAAACTAAACAAAGTAAAATGTGATGTCTTTTCTTGTTTGTGGTTAATATGAGTATACCTTAAGATTGATAACAGCTACTTTATTCCCTGGAGTTGAGTTCTTGTTCTCCATTACCCATGTCATTGATTTTAGGCATGGAAGAACTACCTACATGAAAAAACCCAAGGGCCACATCAATGCTATGGTTTCCTATACCATGAACCATAGAAATAATAACAAAGAGTTATATTCAATTACCATGTTTTCAGATGGACCATCATCTCGATGAAGAGAAACTGGGGCCATCCGTGGCAAGTTAAGATCAGCAACTGATTGAACAGGACCACCAGCATCATTAAGATTAAACTTCCTTGTGATTTCATCTTGTCGTGGCCACAAAAGAGGAGTTGTATCCAAAGTTGGAGTAGGAGTTTTCCTATCATCATAAGCAGTTCCACTGGCCTGATTGTTAGGAGGAGAAACTTTGGCAACACTTTTTTTCACATTAGCAACCTTCTTTCCACCTTCTCTAAGACTACTTATTGCAGCATTATAAGTTTCCAAGGTTACTGCTCCTTCCTCAGAGTATCTGAGGGCTTCCTTACATAGATTGCTATACCTTCCTGTCAAAGACTCATGTGCATGTGATTCACCAGTATGTTCATCCAATCCAGAAATGCTTTTTGCATTCCTTGTCCAACGTTTTAAGATGTAATGGGGTGGTAACGTAAGCACATTTGTTACAGTGAAAACTGTTAAAATATGCCTGCAAAGAATACCTGAATACTCAAACATTTGGCAACTACAATTAGCTATCAACTCAGAATGGTTCAATGTGACCGTGTATGCCTTTCGGTCATCCTCAAATTTTGCAACCTTAAATGTGCTATTTGGCCCATCTCCTTCAATTCTATTCGCAGTATAAACAAAAGTTTCAACAAGCTCTTCTTGAAACTTTGAAAATATTTTTCTTGTATAAAGATTAGCAACCTGTTCCTCCATTGGTGAAGGTGTCTTCAAAACTGGTGTTGTGCAAACTGTCTCAAAATCTGCTTCTATTTCCTTCTCAATCCAGCTCTCTAAAGCTCGTTCATACTGCCTGAAGAACAATGGCAATGTCGTCTGTTGGTTGACATAACCATCAAAAAAAGAACCATCAAATCCCTGAGTAGGAGATAATGCTGCAAAAAAAGAATCACGGAAGAATGCTGGAACCCATTGAGCACGAGCATTGTATAATGACTGAAGCCAATCATTTCTTCTGAGTTCATATTTATCGAGGATACAATTCCAAGATGATTCAAACTCGTCAATGGTTTCTGTCAAGTTGATACAATTATAAAGTTCAACCTGAAAATTTGGATGCGCAAGACATACATGGGCCAACTTTTCTTGGCCTTCTCTCAAGATATGCCACTTGCTAATACAGTGACGGGCTTGTGGAAAAACTTGAGAAACTGCTGTCTGCATGGCTCTGTCTTGATCAGTAGTTATAGAGACAGGCTGACGATCATTCATTGCTGTCAGAAATGTCTTCAAGAGCCATAAAAAAGATGCCTCAGAATCATCTAAAAGGAGTGCACAACCAAACAAAACCATTTGACCATGATGATTTACCCCGGTAAAAGGAGCAAATGGCACTCGATATTTATTTACTCTATATGTTGTGTCCAGATGAACTGTGTCACCATAATAACTGTATGCTGTCCTTGATCTTGCATCTGCCCAAAAGACATTCAACATTCGATTGTCTTCATCAAGTTGTATGGCGTAGAAAAAACCAGGATTCTCAGCCTGCATCTTCTTTAAGTACTCCAATAGATTATGAGCATCCCTCCCCAATGTCCGGTTTTGCAAAGAAGGCCTAACAGAATAACTCATCAATGAGGAGTTTTTAACTGGGTGACTGTGTTCAGCAGCGGCTGCATGAATATTCTTCATCCCTCGAGTATTCTGATTTGAAACACGATTCCCATCCATAGATACATACATGACACCACTGGGAACAAGACCCACTCCTTGATAAGTTTCAGGCATTGTCCTTCCAAGACTAGAAAAATGCTTACTTGGCCGATTATTGTGTGCCTTACTGGAACTTACCAGGGAATGACTATGCTGCTTCACAAATTTTGTTACCACCCATTTATTTTGACCCTTTGGCTCGATTCTAATCATTGCATTGCAACTTTCATTTAGCCTTCTTTTCAAACCTTCCCTACCACATACAAACTCCCTATAATTTTCCCCATCAGCTTTTGAGTGACCATATGGGCCAACTTTAGGGCTAAAACCAATGTGTCTGGCATATTCATTATAAAAAGTCTTAGCAACATCTACGGAGTCAAATTCCATACCCACATATGGCTCAGAAACCCCATCCTCGACATGAGTTCCATAGTTTTCAGCATTATTAACTTCACCATCACTTGGTTCTGCATCCCCATCATCAGCCTTTGTTTGATGGCCACTTCCTTCCACATTGATCACTTGAACATCCATTTCAAACAATTTATACCACTATCTTACTATCTGCCTATTTTATGGGTAAATATCCTGACCATGTACTGAATGCTTTTAACCCTATCAAATAGAAAGTAGGTGCCATCTAAGTTGCATGTGCTCCAAGCATATTAAATTTAAAATAAAAAAAAAGTTTCAGAAAATTAAAAATGTATCACCTAAGACTGAACAAAAGTTCAGCATGTAAACACCATAACCATTTCCTGTGCACATATGTTAAAATCATTGTATATGATCAATAACAAAATAGAGCTAGGCAAAGAAAATGAATTACACAGCTATCCAAAAGTTACGTTTGTACAAATAAAACTATTACCAAATTGAGCTTCTATGAAGTGACATCATTCTTTTGTAGTTTCCGTCTGATTTTAGGTGCAATTCAACACAGACCGGAAAGCAGGCACAGTTCCGCAAGAAATCTTTGTTGGGTGTATGGAAACAAGGAGAGAAAAAATTTAAAATTTGACTGAAATAAATGCGGAAAAAAAAATCTGAATTTTCTAATGAGAAAATTGTCTGTCCTTTTTCTTCTAGTTTCTCTCCAAGTAAACAAACAAAAAATATCGACATCTATGTTTTTATCCCTCTCTGTTCTCTTTCCATCAACCCAAACATACCATTATATTATACTAAAGCTATGCCAATTAGCATAAAACTTACATGTTGTTAAATAAGTGTAAGCTATAAATATAATTCACAAATTTATCGACCAGCTCACCTAGTAGGATAAGACTTAGTTGTTGTATAAATCAATTAGTCTTCAAAATTCAAAAGTCATAGAAACTACAGAACTCCAACTAGACAAAATCCGAAAATTATCTTTTGAATTCAATATCTATGCAGTCACTCTAAATCATATATGTTAATATACTTTACTTTTGTAGGGATTATTTTAAAAGTCATATATAGGAATATGGTTTATAAAGAGAAAAAGGAGCTATTAAGTTTGATAAACCCCTAAACATAAGATTTTGTGATCTAATAAAATTAAAACATATAAATTGGCCAAGGAATGGTAACATTTACAAAGTTACAGACCTAACAACTTTGCGCAATTTGATATGGAAAATTGGAAACCCTAACATACAGCAAAGACTATAAATTATTAGCAGCTGACGACAAATTGATTCTCAAACCTCCCAATTTTGGGGTTGAAGAAAAATAGCAGAAACCCTGATTGATGGAAACCAGTTCCTTTCCGAGCGGTGGCGAAAACACGTGAATAGTGAGGTTCAGGAGCGAACGACGGCGTTTGGACGGTGGGTAGGGTTTCTCCGCCACCGGGAATTGCAGAGACAAGAAGAGGAGCAAGTGTGAGGGAGGAGGGAGACTGAGTGCGTGTCACACAGATTCGATGAGACATAAGTACACACGCGCGATGTGATCCGTTGGATTGAAATCGTACGGTGATGGTTGGTTCAGACCGAACTGCTTTCACTTTTATCAAAGTGGGATCTGAACTCAACTTGTGCTGTTTGTGGTTGGATTTGCCAAGTGCATTTCCAATGTCAGTGGGCTCCTTAACACGCTTCTGCTTTTTAAAATAAAAAATAGATTTAAATTTCTCCATTTTGTTTTAAGAAAAAACCAACTAAAATATAATTTAGGTTTTCAGTTATAATATTTTTAGTTTAGTTGTCTGTACTTTTAAAAGTTTTTTTTGGTTAAAAAAAATGTAATTTAAAGCGTTTCATATTAAATTAAGCTAACCTTTCAGTTAGATTATCAAACAATTTGATCAATTAGCAACATGTGACAAAATATTTAAAGGTTAATTGTAATTTTGGTTCCAATGCTGTATAAATTTTGCAAGTTTGGTTCTAAGTTTTTTTTTCCTTAATTTTAGTCCTTTAATTTGAAATATTCATATTTTTAAACTTGAATATTTAAAATAATTTTTTATATTTTAATTTTTCATTATACATCAAATTTTTAGTTTTTAAAAAGTTAACATCCTCAATTTTGTAAGTGCTACACACTTTAATTCTCAACCCAAAAAAAAAAAGTCAAAAATCTCATGCATTTTTCTCTAGTTTCATTGTAAATTTTTAAAAGTAACAATAATTATATAGAATTAAATAAAATTATAAATAATTAAAAAATAAGAATCAAAAAACCAAAGTTACGGATGATTAAATTAAACATTAAGAAAATAAAATTAAAAAAAAAAACGTATTTTGAGACAAAAATATAAATAAACCAAAATTGACGCTTATTAATACCATTCAAAATAATAAAAATTGACAAAATATTTATTTAACTTTAGCTTCAAAGTGAAACTTTTTAATGACAAATTCACTATTTCATCCCCTAGACAAAACTTACTTTTTCATCCCCAAATATATTTCCATCTATTTGTTTTTATTTTGGTTGATATTGTTAGAAAAAGAGACTGAGATCAAGAGGGGGGTGAATTGATCTTTGAAAGATTTTCACAATTTACAGATTATCTATTTCAAGGATTAAGAGTTTTGACCAATTCTTGAATCAAGAAAAACAAGCAATTAAAATAAAGGCAGCAGCAGAATTAAAGAAAGTAAGGTTTAGAGAAATACAACCAAGATTTATACTGGTTCACCCAATCCCAGGGCTACTTCTAGTTCTTAGCCAAATTTCAGCTGAGTTCCACTATATTAAATGTTTTAAAGATTACAGATTCCAATCACACACCCAATCTACCACAAGAACCAAAATTTCAGTCATTGCACATAAACCTTCACCAAGAACCAACTTCCAGTTCTTGAACCAACCTGCAGTCAAATTCCGCCCACAGAAACCGTGTCTAACAATTCCAGACACTCACAGTACAACAAAGAATGAAAGAAAACGAAAGATAAGAAACCAGAACAATCTAACCCGGATTATGCAGTCCCTGCAGTATGAGTTTCTTCACAAAAAAATGCAAAAATGTCTCAAGAAAGAACTTTCAAAAACACCACAAAACTTGCGCGATTCTTTCTTGAAAAACTTCATTTATGATTGCTTGATTGATTGCTCAAAAGTATATTTTAAAAGACTGAAGTAATCCTGTTTATATAAAGGTTTGTTCTAAATGATGGTTTAATTAATCTGTTAAAATAATCTTTTTATCTGTTAAAAGTCTTGAATTAATCTGTTAAAACTTCTTTTAATATGTTAAAATATTCTTGATTATTTTCCAGATTTTTTTACCTGACACGATAACGTTTCAATCAATTAAAACACTTTGTAAAAAATTTCTTAAGTTGTTTTAATCGATTAATTCACAATTTAATCGATTAAAATTATGCCAAATATTTTCATTAAACTTTCTAAGTGATTTTAACTGATAACAGCTAGTTTTATTCTATTAAAATAGTTAGCAGAAATTTCCTTAAATTGTTTTAATCGATTAATTCGATTATACATCGATTAAAATACTGACAAAACATCTTTCATAACACTTCAAGTTATTTTAATCGATTGTTTCGAGTTTATATCGATTAAAATACTATCGAACACTTTTCAAAACATTTTAAGTGATTTTAATCGATTATTTTGAAACTATATCAGTTAAAACATTGGCATAAGGTTTTCAAAAACTCTTTTAATGAATATAATCGATTATTTCGAAAGTATATCGATTAAAACAGTTCCAGTTAATGTTTTAAAAGGTTTTAATCGATTATTTCGAAAACCTATCAGTTAAAAATCTGTTATGTAAGTTTTAAGAACATTTTAATTGATAAAGCTCATATAATATCAGTTAAAAAAATTTGCTAAAAATAATTTAACTGATTACTTTGGTTTTTAATGGATTAAAAACATCTTTAGAAGCATTTTCAAATTCTTTCAAATGATGAAACCTCATGCAGCAGAGATATATGAATGATTATACCTATGTATAGATGCAGACTCACTAATCACTCTACCCTTTTAACCCAAATAATTTTTGACTTCATCAAATTAGCATTTGACTTCATCAAATCAATAAGATCTTCGTTTTATGATTCAATAAGATCTTCATCACTTTCAGTCTCCCCCTATTTGATGAAGACAAACACCTCTTTGAAAGATTTTGATCTGTAGAAGAAGTCACTTGGATATATAGATTAGTGAGTATTCAATATCAATTATTTCTCCCCTAGATTAGTGATTATTTAAAAATTTAATCTTTTCTCCCCTTTGACTTCATCAAAAATAGGAAAGAGAGGGATAAAACAAGCATGTAATGATAATTTAAAAAAAACAGTATTATAATAAAAAAGAAAAAGAATAGAATTTCATGATACCAATGAGATGTATTATTCATATAAGAATCAATTAAAGTTGATTCAAACATATCTTCGTTAATACGTTTGTAATGAATACAATAGACACGTGTAAAGATAAGGGAACCTTGCTTTAGTAGCATGTTGCAAGAACAACCATTAACTAAAGTCTTTAATTTCCTTTTTAGAATAATAATCAATTAAAAATAGGACATAATTGATTAAATTGATCATGTTAATGATTTTAATTGATACAAATAACATTTTAATCGTTTAAAACAAGAATGACAGGTGTACATTGAAATCCTGAGAGCATTTAATCGATTAAAACAAGTATGAACAATAGTATTATTAATAAAATTAATCGATTAAAGCTAGTTTATATTAATTAAAATAATCAGTAATGAGAACTAAGTGATGTTTAATGCATCTAAAATGCCTAATTCAGTTCGAATTTTATAAAATCGATCATGAGCAAGAGGTTTTGTGAATATATCAGCTAATTGTTTCTCAGTTTCTATAAAGAAAATTTCACAATCACCTTTTAAAACAAGATCTCTAATGAAATGATGTCTAATTTCTATATGGTTTGTCCTAGAATGCTGAATTGGTTTCTTTGTTAATATAATGGCACTGGTATTATTACATAAAAGAGGGATTTTATTGAGAATTAAACCATAATCCTCAAGTTGTTGTTTGAGCCATAGGGATTGAGCACAACAACTTCCAGCTGCAATGTACTCGACTTCAGCTGTAGAAAGAGCAACACATGATTGCTTTTTGCTATGCCATGAGATTAGACTGCTTCCTAGGAGATGACAAGTGTCACTGGTGCTTTTTCTGTCAAGCTTACACCCTGCAAAATCTGAGTCAGAGTAACCAATTAGATTTAGTTTGGACTCACCAGGATACCACAACCCAACATTTAATGTTCCTTTGAGATATTTGAGGATCCTTTTTGCAGTAGTAAGATGAGATTCTTTTGGTGCAGATTGAAACCTGACACACATACAAACACTAAACATAATGTCAGGTCTACTTACTGTGAGATATAATAAAGAACCAATAAGTCCTCTATATTTCGTTTGATCTACTGGTTTTCCCTTTTCATCAGCATCAAGATAGTAATTGGTGGACATTGGTGTGGATGCCTCTTTGCAGTGCTCCATCTCAAATTTCTTTAGAAGCTCTGTGCAGTACTTTGATTGATGAAGAAAGCTCCCTCCTTGAAGTTGTTTGACTTGTAATCCAAGAAAGTAATTAAGTTCCCCCATCATAGACATCTCAAATTCTCCCTGCATATCTTTGATAAATCCTTTACATAAAGACTCATTAGTGGCTCCAAATATGATGTCATCAACATATACTTGAACTAAAATAATATCATTATTTATTTTCTTAAGAAATAAAGTTTTATCAACCACACCTCTTTGATAGCCCTTTGATAAGAGAAAATTACTTAACCTTTCATACCATTGTCTTGGGGCTTGCTTTAGACCATACAATGCTTTCTTCAATCTATAGACAAATTCTGGATGAATATAATCTTCAAAACCAGGTGGTTGTGCAACATAGACTTCTTCATTCAAGTAGCCATTTAAGAAGGCGCTTTTGACATCCATTTGAAATAACCTGAAATTCTTTATTGAGGCATAAGCAAGTATAAGTCTAACAACTTCTAATCTAGCAACAGGAGCATATGTTTCATCAAAATCAATTCCTTCTTGCTGATTATACCCTTTAGCAACTGATCTTGCCTTATTTCTTGTAATTATACCATTTTCATCCATTTTATTTCTAAAAACCCATTTAGTTCCTACAATATTGGCATCATTTGGTTTTGGAATTAATTCCCATACTTCATTTCTTGTAAATTGATTTAATTCATCATGCATAGCATTAATCCAGTTGTTATCCTTTAATGCATCAGATATGGTTTTTGGTTCAATTTGTGATACAAATGTCATGTGATTACAAAATTTGTTTAAAGATCTTCTAGTAGAAAATCCCTAATTTATTTCACCAATGATGTTGTCTATTGAAAGATTCCTTGGAGTTTTCCATTCTTTGGGAAACTGTTCCTCAGATTCTTCAATAGACTCCTCCTGTTTTTGAAAAATAGTTTATTCTAGTAATTTTAACTGATACATTTTATCATCCAAAAAGTTGTCATTTGTACTGCACTCAGAATTTTTTTGCATATCTGGGTTAGTTTCATCAAATACAATATGAACATATTCTTCTATAATATTTAGCCTTTTGTTGAAGATTCTATAGGCATGGCTATTTAATGAATAACCCAATAAAATACCTTCATTTGATTTGGAGTCAAATTTTTCAA